GATTTAATTTGTCTGCTTGTATTTAGCACTTAAGGGCTTATATACTCAGTTTGCTCAAAAGAGTGAAGAAGTACTCCTTGCTTATGCTTCAAATCAGAAATGCATGAAGTGCAGCTGCAGAGATAATACATTCTCCCCAAAGGCTTTGGCTGAGCAAATTAGGTGTCAATGGGGTGCCTGCGCAGGCAGTACTCTCTCTAATTAGTCTCTTGAGCCTAGTTGGTGGCAGGTATAAGATGATCTAATCAATTGGTCTGTGTCTGATGGTACGTGTAAAAATCCTAGCAGGCAGAGCTGTCTCCCACAGGTCACTCACCTGCACAGCAGGAACACTCATTTTCATTTTTCATCTCTTCCATCACATGATGCTGACAGTTGGTTTTAAGGAAATTGAATCCAAAAAATATCTAGTTCATAGGGCACGTAGGTCAAAATAAAGTTGCATTATGGGTATTGGTGATCCAATTAATTAATATTTATAGCAACAAGTTGCATGTAGATATTATCTGAGCGCTGATAGTATTGCTAATGTTTGGTTGGCTTTTTAAAATTATTTCTCTAACAAAGGTAGGAATAAAAGGTGTGGGGAAAATTACCTGTTAATATTGTACTGTTTTTTTCAGAGAGGATGAACAGTATCTGTGGTGTCTGCATGTGTGGTGGAGGGAGAAGCAGAAAGAGTATTATTGTTGATGATCTTAAATACCTCCATGTTTCAGCTCATAAAGAATACAGTATCTCCAGTTGTCAGCTCACAGTTTTATTTTAAAACTGGAATACTCTTATAATACTGCTACATCAGCTGCCACATAAATAGACCTGCACTCTGAGTGTGCTTTGCATGCTAAAGACTCTGCGGGAGCACAGCTCCACCCGAAGTGATAATTTATACAGAAATTAAAAGTACCTAGAGAAGGATGCTGATGCTGCCAAAAGGAACATGTATTGAACTGGTATTTTTACAGGATAGGACGTTCTTTCACTAATTAAAGTAAAGAAAAATATTTGGGATTTAATCACCCTCCTCTGCCTCATGTCTTGAGAGTATGATTAATGTTTAAATTACAAGCTTTGGTATGCCTTTCTAGAACCACTGTTACATCAACAGCTACTGCATTGTGAAGTTGGCATCTGCTGTTTTTAAGGTGGATTAACACTGTATCCCGTTTGGGGTCTGGGACAAACAGATGTATGCAGCAGAAGTTTTCTCTAGGTAACAAACTCAGAAATAAGTTACTTAATCAAGTACATCATTAACTTACTTGTAGAAAGCTATTAGGTTTAGTAGAGATGTCATGAAAATCAGAAGTACCAGGATCTGTGGTGAACAAAGTTCATTTTTAAGGCAGCCTGTTATGTTTCAAGGTTTGTTGTTGTTTGTTTGTTTGTTTGTTTGTTTGTTTGGGGTTTGTTGTTTTGGTTTGGTTTTTAAGCAGATATGAAAGAACTCTACTTTGCTCTTGGGAAATCACAAGTTGTAAATATTCCATTTAACAATTTACAATTTTATAAGCAAAGCTGTGACCAGAGGCCATAAACATAATCTGCCAAGTCACCAGGCAAAATTTTGATTTGTATGATGAGGGAAATGTGTAAATTCTAAGCAAGGATATTTCTAAAATATATCTTTAAAAATACAAACATGGAATACTAAGCCATCTGGGAACTGAATGGCAACACTGTGTAGAGTGCCCTGCCTTGGGTCTTCGTTGTGTGAACAACTGATGTTTCAGTTCAAGAGCCACACTGAAGAAGCAATGCTTTTTTAATAAAAAGATTGGTTCACACCAGTCTAAAATTTTCTGGGTTTTTTTATTGTGGATTTCCTGTTGTGGATAAAGAAATGCTCTTCTCTTTGTCCAGTTTAGGAGAGTTGTCTGTTTGATGTATCATCTTAAACAAAAATAAATGTGAAGAGAAAGTTCACAGTGATTACAGCACTCCTCTGACAAGTGGCATATCTGAGTTCAGCATCAGAGAAAGCTGGCACTCCATAACAGCTCTCTGAGGCAGGGGAAGGGACTTTACCTGTTGACTCCACTTTTGAATTGACAATACACCTTCAGAGAAGTAGGGATTCAGATGCAAACATTATCTATTCCTAAGCACCACACTTGTTGTGTCATGTAGGGATTTCATACTCAGGAGAAATACCTTGGCAGGCAGAGCTGAGGTTCAGCCTCAGAACACCCTGCCCATTTTGGCACTGGTGTGAGCAGTGGATATGTCATGCAGGCTGGCTTCCCAAACCAGGCATTTTGCACATTTCAACACTGCAGAGAGACTGAGGCCACCATACTGTTCTCAGGTTCCAGTTGTACTGTCTCCTAGCTTTCCCCAGCCAGAACCATTAGTGAAATGTGGCATCAAATCATGTTCTTTTCCAGTGATCTAATTTAAATCTGGAACCTGTGCAGAAGATAGAGGGTGATGTTGCCCACCGGACACAATCTCTAAGCTTCACAAGAAACCAATTGCAGCCCTGGCATGGCAGGATCCAGCAAAGCTGGAGATGGTAGAGTTGTGGTCTTAAAATTGTGATCTGCCTTGTACTGAGCCAGAGCAGGAACCTGTAACCTCTGCTACCCTTTTTGTCTTCAGTGTTCTGCCTGCAGTCTGCATTGGTGCTGGCAGTAGTTGCCAGGGTGCAAGGACTTTTTTTCCCCATGTCTTATATGGTAGCAGCTCACAGTTTATTCATTTCTAAAGAATCTCTTAATGTTCTAGGGCTTGATTCTGGAAGTGCTAAGCTTCTAATGAAGGTATTCCCCATGCCACAAGCTCAGGCCTTGCCCTGGAGAATGTGTCATCAGCTTTGCCTACAAAGCCAAACTTGAAACCAGACAATGTAGTATTGTTACTGGGAAATTGTAGCATAATCCTCAGAGAAGTGTGATACTTACTTCATTTAGAAATTAAGGTCCAGTGATAGAAAGGAGAAGTTCTGTATAATTAAATTGCAGTTATTCTCAAATGAGCAATGACCTCTGAACAATTTTATAACTACAGGAAAAGCATCCACCCAGAGACTTTTCTATCCTTGTAATTTTGCTACTTGTCTCAGATGTCCCTGCTGCTTATGCCAGTCACAGAACTCCAGTAATTTGAGCTTAGCCTGAAATCAGGCCAGCTCTTCTGGATCAGGGCAGATGTAGCTTCCAAATTGCAAGCCTGCTTTCCACAACTGGAGTGTAGGTGGCAGTGGGGGCAAATGCAACCTCAGCATTCAAAGGAGCTTTGGAAGTTTCGTTGCTTCCTTCCAAGAAGGAGCTCCCAAAAGAACACCCCTGAAAAGTGCTCATGAAGTAAGGGAAATCTGGAATTTGGGGAATATTATCACTGGTGTTTCATCACTGAGCAGTTGTGAATCTGTGCATGTTCCAAACATTGCTTTTCTTTTTAAGCTTTTGAAGGTAAACTAAATGCATCAGCTCAAATGTATTCCTTGAAACAAGATTTATTGGCATTTCAGCCAAATTTCTAGACTTTGGGGAAGGTGGGACTCTCACGTGGAATAGACAGTCCACACAAACTCCAGATGCATTTAGGAAACAACCCAAGAAGGACAATAGAGGTCCTTGGTAGACCAAGCTCCAGCAGGGTCTAAGATGCTTAAGAACAGGCTTTTGTTAATCCACCTCAGGTATCCTGGTGCTTAAAGAACAGAAGAGCACTTAAGAACCATTACAGGAACCCTGGAAATTACGGAAGTTAAAATATTGTGTAGACATTGGGGTGTTTTGTTGAAAGCCACAATTAAAATACGATGCTTGAAACTGCAGTTCAAAACCAATGCCTTGTTTTTCTCCTGGTTTTGAAATGAGGGCTAGACTAGATTCACTGGCACCTGCATCCAGTTTGATTTAAATAGTTTTAGGACATGCTAATACAAACCAGTTCCATGCTCAATGAATATTTCAGCATTCTTTTTTTCAAGGGATGAAATTCCTTCACATCTGTCTTCCTGCAACCACATTTTAAAAATGTATCAGGTCTGTAGTTCCAGTCTTGGAGAACGTAATAAATATATTTTCACAATTTCTCAGAAAGTCTCACTTTATTTCTTGGCTTAGAATTCTACTTGGAGATTTATTAAGAGTTAAATGTGTTAATTATAAAATCCTTTCAGTGGCTTCAGTTCATCCAGTTCATCTAGCCTTCATTCAGCCTTCAGGTGGCTCTTCTTGTAGTTACTGGATACTTTGTTTTCCTGTCCCACATTCTCAGTCTGCCTCCTGTTTTGTGTAAACCTCGAAAACATCAAGATACCTTCATGCAAGTCCAGCCATTGCTACGAGCTTCTACATTAGTAGAGTGAAAGACAACACAAGTGAAGCTATTAATAGTGTTTCTTTTTATATTTGAGAGTTTTCAATTATCTGCCTAGTAATAGAAATACACTGAAATAAAGGTGAATACATTTAGACACAGCACACCAAGAAGCTCCATAACCTGGTTTATGTTTGCAGAAATGTTTGTGATTTGTCTCAGGGTGCCCCAAACAACTCTCGGGAAGGAAACCCGAGGAGACCTTTTCAAAAACTAGCTACCAGCATTGTTATGGAGGAGATCACTAGGGAGAAAGGGGGCAAAAAAAAAACTTGTAAACTCTGAAGCTCTGCCAGCATTTTTAGCAACCCTCCTTTGCATTCAGGGGGTGTGACCACCTTTAGAAGAGATGACTGTTTACAGCTGTCTGTAATTTCCATGGAGAATGTCAGTGCTAATGGCACCTGTGAAGATTAGCTCTTAGGGCACAGACACATGAATATGGATTAATAGATGTCACTTAGGAGACCACCCTGAAAACATTGGTGTTTTAAGTCCATTTTCCTGAGGTACCAGTTCTAAACATGCTTTGGAAGTCTGCCCTTGACTCTGAGCTAGCATCTTCATAACTGGCTTTGGCCTAACCTATCTTTTACCAAGTGAAAAAAAAAACAAAACATTTTAAAATGCAATTAATGAGGCTTATTATAATTTATATTGTTTCCTTACAGGATTAAATTTACCAGGTTGGAGGAGGGAAACAAAAACCTAATGAGGAGGCCGACACCAGGAAGGAACCACGGCCTGTTTCCTTTCTGTCTCTATGGTGGATTTCATTCAAAAGAAAATTGAAGCTGGCAAGACCCTGTTTTTCCCTGCAATTTATTTAAAACCTTGCACGCATTTGGATACCTTGTGATTTCAGAGAACTATGTGAAGATTAAGCTTTTGCTGATTGATACATGGCATGTACTCTTTCAGTCTTTTGTGTTTGATTTTGTTTGATTTTCCACTGCAGCGCTGCATCTTTGTAAGGATTTTTATGCTTTCACCAGCAACGTCTTAAATACTTTCAGACAACACATTTGGTGTTCACACCTCTTCAGTAACAACTGTACAAAAAGAGCCAGCAGTGGCATAAAGGACTGTGTGTTTTCTTTGAGGGTTGTGTATAGTTTACAACCAATGGGAAGACTATTTCTTCCCAGGGCAAGCCCAACTTGTCTGATCAGCTGACAATTACAGCACCTTGCCACTCTTCCTCAAGTGTTGTTGGGTTATTTCTTTTCTCATTATCCCCTCAGACCATTCATATCCATTTAAAAACATGGCAATAATTGCATGTTTACTTCAGTACTCTAAATTTGGTTACTCTGCTTAGGCTATGTAGCATGCCAGTTTTCAAAATAGGCCTGTGAGAACGACAAAGCAAAAATGAGGAGATATATGCAGCTGATAGATGCACAGTGAATTCCTTATGGTTTTATTCCCTTCAAGAATATATCTTTCTTTTATGGGTCTTGGCTAACATCTCTATGTTTTTCCTCACACTAGTTACTTATATTTTCTTGAAAACAGAGATGATGAAACTGTTCTGTTTAATTCAGGGCTGATACTGAGGTACAGAAAAACGTCCTTTGAATGAGCCATTAAATCTAGCTGTGTTACTTTGCCACGTACAAAGCAAGGTGGAGAATTCTCCTCATCCCAGACTGTTTGCTGTTCCACACCAAAGCACCTTTTGAGTTATTTTCCATAGGTATTCTGAGCTGATTGGAAGGCACTACATGATCCTTAGTCTTTAGATAGCTTTTCTGAATGAATCATTCAAATGCAAACTTTGCAAGAAACTAAGTTGTGTATGTGGTTTTAGAAAAGGAAGCCCCTGCTACATTTTGGCTGGGGAGAGCATTGTGTTCAGGGGTGTGAAAAAACTGCCCTGTTTACAACTTTGCATTCAGAGAGGGCAGGGTATTGTGCAAAAATCACTGTTGAGTTACAGTCCTGCTCCTGCACTTGCTAGGCAATATTATTCTACACATAATTTTGACATCCTTTGCTTGTTGGATGCATTGAATTACATTTTAAAGAAGTGTGGTAATGCTTTGGTTAGCTTTCAGTGTTTGAAAGGAGGGGGAAAGGATTTGTGCTACTGCCATCTTATTAAACTCCAGCAGTGTTTAATAAGAAAGACACCCAATAAGGCAAATCCTTGAATGCACAAGTAGCTACAAAAGGTCTCTTAATGAACTAGGACAGGAGTCTACACTTTCAAAGAACTGAACCGTGGAAATATTCTCAATATTTGCACAGCCATTAAAAGACAGTTTTCCCCAATGACATCTCTGTTTCAGGATCTGCTAAAAGCCATCTGAAAGCCACTTTCAGTCACAATCCTATTTAGAACTTACTACAGTTCTTCTCCTGTGTTTATAGGGGGAAAAGTGACCACTGAACTTTTGAATTTATCACACACTGAAACTGCCTTAGACGTGGTTTGTTTGGGTTTCATGTTCCTTTTTTTTTGTAAGAGAAAAGTCTTTTATACATTATCTTTGCTACTTAAATTGTGTGCAGTTTGATGATTAAAATTAGCTATTTTTAGAAAAAAAAACTTGCTGCAAAATCTGAAGAATTTTTGAAAATGTAACAAAGATTTTGATTAGGAATATAAGGGTAGTTTCATAGATGCTTCTACTTGACAGCTTAAATTTGAAGGCAAGCAATTACACTGCTCAACTAACCATCTGAAGGTTTAATATAGAGAGTAATTCCCCAACTGCTCCCACAAGCCTAGCACATTACTATCCATAGTGACTCACATACAGTGTTTGCTTAAGGTATGTATGTATGTGTATGTGTGTGAACACACGTGCACGTGAGATTATTCTCTCTGCCCCATTCCCACTTTTAAGCAACCACTGAAATAAAGTTGATCCAAAAAATCTTCAAACTCAATTAATGGCCTAAACGAAAGTTCATAAATATCTAGGTTTCCAAATAGCAACTTAATATTCAGCAGTAATGAAGTTATCTCACCTACTGATCAGGGTCTCTTACTTCTGCACCTCCTTTCCTGGCACTCTGACTGCCTGTGGTGACTTCGTTTTGCTGCTCTCCCATGGAGTCTCTGGGCCCTGGGGATGTTCTCCTGGCACCAAGGCAACTTAGGCTGAGCAGGATGGTTCTTTTCACATGAGCACTGCAAATTAATCTTCTGTAACATCAAATCTGCTGGGAAATATCAAGCTTTTTGAGATAGCAGAAGTTCCTTTGGCCAGTCCCTTCCTGCAGCAGAGCACTCACCTGCATGGTTAGCCTGACACCCATCAGTAAGGACCCCCAAACAGCTGCCCACCTCTCCAGCTGTTTTCACCACAGCTCTTCTCAGTGTTGCAGAATGGACTGCTTAAACCCCATCAATGCTCTTGAGACAGCTTCAACAAAGATCAGTAGTGTTACTCTGGTTTTCTTTCATCCTTCTGAAATCAGTTCCCCAAAGAATCTTCAAAGAGACAAGAAGTAGCTCAGCCTTCCAGACGAGCTGTGGGTGCCTGGAATGTTTCACATTGTTGAAGTAAAAAGTTGGCTTCAGTGATCAATAGTCTTTAGGGCACAGTCCTGGAGAAACTGTGGGATATGCTCAGAGCCAGTAGCCAGCAGCAGCTTAACTTGCATTTTCCTACCACTTGGCTGAGATCCAGTAGATCTGTCCTGGTGATACTTTGAGAGGATGTGGCTTTGCTTTGAGATGGGAGAGCAGTGACAGGGAAGCAGGTATAGCAGGCAGATAAAAGTGGGAGGGCATGTTCTAACTCTCTATGGGATCTAGTATTAAGTGAATGGGGAAGGGAAGATGGTGATAGATATGGTCTGCATGATACAGAGAGTCCTTACAAGTTCAAGTTCACAGAACCTAAATTTACAAGTCAGCCAGCTGGAGATTGCTCAGTCCTCTCTCCTCCTGGGTTCAGATCAAGTCTAATCCACACCCAGCAGACACCACCCTAGACAGGACACTCCCAGTAGTTCTGGCATTACATTACTGTGTGGGGTCCTAGAACAGTTGGGTCTTTTTAATTCTCACTCTTACTTTTAAACAGAACCATGGCTTAGGACAAGTCATCAGTACAACAGTGAAAATTCAATCTGCAGTAGACAGAGGCACAGGGGGTTTTGCTTTCTCTTTGGTGCCTAGGGGTTCTGCACTTCAGACTCCTGGGAAGAGAAGGTAAGATCAATAAATAAATACCCTGTGGGTTGGTGAGTTATGTACACCCCTGTGTCAGTGCACACAACCACATGTGTAGTCAATGCTCTGATATGCTCATATACAAAATATTAATCTGTGAATATTACTGGGTTTGTAATCTTTGTTATATAAAAGGTTAAGGCTGTACAGACTAAGGAGCAAAATGCAGATATCCCATATAAACAGAATTAGGTTGCATTATTGAGCATAACAATACTCTCCTCTACCAGCATTTAGGTGGAGTGACTGTACATTACTGCCTTGCATCTTTCACATAAGCAAAAAATCTAAAAGTAAAGGATGCACTAATAATTCCCATCCCCCAAAATGCATTTCAGTGGTGCTGCATACAAAATTCCTGCTTGCCAGCTTCCATGCGGATTTTTGTATGGTGCACTAAGAGGTGTTCTTTTTTTAACAAATAAAAAAGGGGAGGGCTGGTACATGAAAACAATGTTAATGTAATTAAATATATATATACTTCAGAAGAACAGCATAGTAAGCAGTACAGTGAAATAAATGTCGCATTATTTGTTACACCTTGTAATTTGTCTGTATTATGAAAGATGTAATGGTTTGTCAGCTGTAACTGTTGTTTTCTTGTAACATCATATTGAATAAAGTGTAGCAGAATCTCTATTCTCCTTTGTGTATGTGATCTAGACCTAACCCAAGGAATAAAGCCTTTCTTTTCCTCTTTGTTCTCCAAAAACCAAACAAGGAAATGGTTGTAAACAAGAGATTTTTGAGAAATGAAAAGTACTTGGGAGCAGGCAGACACTAGACAGTAATATGTTGAAAAGATTAGGCACTGATTCAGTCAAACATGAGCTTCATCAAAACTACAAGGCAGTGCTGACTACACTGGGCAAGATTCTTCACCTTTCTGTCTGTAATAGTAAGTTAATGATTTGGTGTCTCTTTCCTTTTTGTTATGTATGTGACAAGGGACCTCTTTACAGCACACTGAAATTTAACCAAAGAAGTAGAAAAAACAGTATTCTGAAAAAAAAAACCCCAACAGATCTGATTTAAAGATATCATCATATGGAGGATGAAGGCTGGCTTATTGCAACTTCTCTTGAAACAGAAAACTGATAATTCTGGTAGAAAATCAGGCAAAACATACAATATGCATTTTTCACAACTTTGAGGTGGAAGTGTCATTTATCCTTGTTCATACTTGATTACGTCTTTCAATCAGTGAGCGTATGCTGCCTTGACTCTGTCGATTTGTGCATCACAGCGTTAGATAAGCAAGTGCTTGCTCACACTCTATATTATCAATATGTGTGTTCAGTATTTTTTCCTCCTTTCCACTGCTTCTACCTTTTCTGGTACCAGCATCTTCCTAGGACCTATTTTTAGACAATGGCTGCTAAATCAATGCAGTTTGCATAGACTTCATTAGAATATTTGCCTGAAATGTCAGAATATGCTGGTTTAGCAAACACAAGAGTCTATAGGAGCCATTTTGATCTGGGATGGGGGATGGCTGGAGAGCAAGTGCTTGTACTGTGTAGGCTGATGGGGCAGCAGCTCTGGCATAGAATATGAATAATGGAGGACCAAGATTATAGTCTCAGCTCCAGCTGATTAGAAATATTTGAACATAGAAGGGTCTTCCTTGGAACTAGCACAGTATAAGCTGGAATGTGGGTCTTCAGTAACTCAGGTTTTATCCAGTAGAATAATGTTCTGGCCCCATTCTGATCACAGAGCACTTCAGGAGAAGAATCCACATTTTCAACCTAGAAAGTTGCTGCGGAATGACATCAGCTGCACCCAGAGGGCATTTCACAAAAACAAACTAAGAAAACACATGCCTGTTCATCTATTTATATTTTACCCTCAGTTCTCACTGTCTAGGGCAGGTTTAGGAAGGTGTTGCCTTTTTATAGTCTAGTTGAATAATTTGTATTCCTGACTCACTACCTGTATGGCAACTTTAACCTACAAATCTCTCCGATACAAATAAGGACCAAGAATTATTACCTAAAAAGGTTTGTATGTTTGAACACAGGGTACCAGGAAGCATGTTCAGAGTCAGCCTTTAATTATGTAGTATAATCCTTAAAGCTGTCTCCTGACCCCCTTGGCTGCACTCCTAGCCTGTTTAGCCCCAAGGTTTTCTTCCTAAGCTAGCCTGGCTGCTAAGGCAAAGCAAGAGATGCATTTAGCTAAATAGCCACCCCTCCCCCAAGAAAAGAAAAACCAGAGGGAAGGTGTTGGAGCAGCCCTGTGCCATTGGGTTAACACATACAGTTTCTCAATAATGCCTCTCCTTGTAAACCTCTGCAGAGTAAACCCTACAGCTACGGAAGGGCTTGCTGCTACCAGTGGGGGGTGGTGTTATGGACATTAGATTTGAGAGGCTTATATAGCACATGGGCGAGGATAAAGGGATACAAATCAGAGAGAGAGAAAAAAAAATCAACTGAAGCGATTTAAAAAAAATATCCAGGGCCAAGTATTTACTGTTCATTTCCCTTGCGAGTGGTGTTATATATTGTCTGCAGTGAGTCATGCTGAGAGCGAGCCAGGCACAATAATAGCTGAGAGCAGTCCTGCAGCCCCTTCATTATTACTTCTGCCAGCTGATACCGAGTTGGGCAAAAGAAAGTGATTCCAGAAATGTTCCTTTTTTTTTTCCTTTATCTCCTGTTTCCCAAAGGACCCAGTAGTGATTGCTGGGGCTGTACTACCTTGAAAGAACTGCTAAATTAAAATCAAACATTTTAAAATTAATTTTTCAAGGACCCATATGGTGATTCACATAAAAGACGTAACAACTCTAAGTGCTATACCAGATACTGCAGTGCTGTATATCCCAGTAAAGTCTTGAAGCCTAAGGAGATTTATGATATCATAGAAACATTTCAACCTCACTTTTCAACTGCAATTAGGACTTCAGTGTAGATGTCACAAGGGTAGGTATTAATCTTACAATCCAGCTAATTATACATTTGTCCCCAGCATTCACCTGAGGAGCTCAGAGATATTCATGCATCAGAGAAATGAGCTGTACACACAGCTCTGGA